TGAATGTATACTTTCTACTTTCACTAAGTTTACCTATGTTATCACATACATATGTGTCACTTTTATGATGTGCAAGAAACCAAATAGAATAAAACGAATATTATTAATGGGTATAAGTTGAAAATGTGTGCTGATAAATTTCTAATCCAGCCTAACACGCCTAAAAACTGGCTCTTTAACCTTTAAATCATATTAAGCTTATTAGAAACTTCGATTTTTTTTGTTGTGTTATCTTGTTTCTGATATTTATATAAAGGTATTGATAACTTTCAACTTTTTTTACTGGAAGGAAAGTTAATTAATGCATTTATTGAGTAACACTGATATCTAACATTATTATTGATATCTGCATAGCTATTAAGTAAGGGCTTTCTATTGACATACAAAAATAAAAAAGCCAAAAACTGGTTTTCGATTTTTTTGGTGAAAGTCAAGATTACACTACTAAAATTGTTCTAAAACTTTTTGGGTAACAGTTTCAATCGTGTAAGGCTAAAAATAAACGTATAATCTTGAAAATTACTGCTTTTGTACTGGTCAATGGGATTTACAACAAAAACACAGTTACCAAAACAACAGTTATAAATGTTAAAACAGTTTTACCATTTAAAAGATAGTTATTTTCGACCACTGACCCATAAGAGTATGTTATACATATATAAAGTTTGTTAAACGAATTATAATTATGCACGAGCGAGCATGCGGGCGAGTGTTTAATTAAATGAGGGTCTATAACAGTTTATAAAAGTAATAAATTGCTTCTTGACGCCAATATTTAACACTGAAAAAAGGTGCCCTTAAACTCTCTTGATAAAAAATTATTAGCCTATTATTACTTTCTGATTACATTTAAAACAAACTTGAAATTTAAACACCAATTAATAAACTTAATACCATTTAGTGGTTAATAAATTTAAATACTTATCAAGCAAAAATTATTCAAACAAAAAATGTTAAAACTTAAAATATCTCTAAACGTAATCAATTCGAATAAACTACGTTTTGACGGTAAACATGTTTTTAAAAAAAAATTAGATAAACCCGTCATAAATTACGTAGTAGCAGTGTTTATATTTTTGTTTTAACGGTTATGTAAAATTTACCAAAATAGACTGCTTTGTTAAGACAAATCACGTATGCTGAGCGCGAAACAAACAAGTTTTATACAAGGTGCAATGCAGGGACGTAGCAAGGGCGATTTCCGATGTTATTAATACTTCCAATGAATGGAACTCTCGCTACGCCCCTGGTGGTAATATTAACCCTTATGCAGGCGCACCTCTTTATGCAACGTAGTAGGTCGCGCGGGGTGTCAGAGACACCCCTGATGGCAAAGCGTCCCTGAGTGTTATTTACATTTTTTTTTATTTTTTTTTCAAAGTTATCAAGATAAGATGAGCTTAGGGACAATAAGAACATATTTCGTTGCGTTCAAATTTGATAAAAGATGACAAAAAAAAGAAAATGTCAAAAGACGACAATTTTAATAAAATAAAGCATTTATTTAAAAAACAATTTTAAAAGTCATAATAATAATAAAAACCAAAAAAAAAACACTAAGCACATAAGATAAGGTTAACTTTTACAAGTAATTATGATTTGGTAAAGAAAAGTCAATAGTGAGGCGAAACCCAGCCTGCTCAGTTACTCAATTTCGATACTAGAATTTACTATGGAATCAAAGCTTTCTTTATAAACATTTTTCCTGTGCTTCATGCAAATGTTTTTGGCACACCTTCTACTTTTTGCAAAAAGGCATGCCTTGGACAAATTACACATCTGCCCTTCTTTACCAACAACTGATAATTTAAAAATTATTGGGCGGAGAAATTTTGTCAAATTTTTATTTGTTGTTTACATAAAATATTAAAATGAACAGAAACAAGCAAAATATAACGCAATGCTTTCAAGATAAAAATAAATATTTTGTCGTGCGTTCCAATTACTTTTTTACAGGGTATAACCTTATTTAATGTGAAGTAATAACAAAAGTTGAAAAAATCAGCTTAACAAATTAATGCAAAATAATTGTACGTGGAAAGGCGCACGGGGTGTCCACAGCATCCAGAGCCTGTTTGAAACAAAATATCAGACAACCTATTACATTAACTTCGAAATCGGCAATATAATATGACTGACAATACTTTGACAGGAAGGTACTGAAAGTAAGCGCCATTTATTCGAAACGAATTGAGACCGGTAGCTATATTTAGGAAGCTGGGGTGTTTTGTACACCCCGTGTGCCTGCTTAAGGGTTAAGTGTTTCATCCGTGGGTGAATCTCACGAAATGTCTAAAACCTATCCTCCGTGACTGTTACTCTTTCTAGGTTAACCTATATGTTTTCAAGTATCTGAGGTAGTAAAAGCATACTAAAAATATCAGTTCACTAAGTAAATTAAACACATCCAAAGCAATCGAATCAAATATAAAATATTATTCAAAATTAAAAGATATAATTTTTATAACAATTTACAAAAATTGATTCTATCCTCCGTGAATCTGTTTTTGCTTTAAATTTTATGCAACGGATGGCGCTTTAATCATTTTAAATAAGCAAAAACCTCTGTTTACGACATTACAGATGCATGTGATTCCTGAAGGTCAGTTAGAATTTATATGCAGATGAGAGTGTTGCTGTTTTATAATTCAAAAGTTTAAGTTCATTAATTTGCTATTTAAAAACCTATCCACCGTAAAGTGTAATATCTCAGCAAGTAGATTTTTTTTATAAATATTGTATGTATGTACAATTGTATTTGTAAAAAATATTAAAATGTCAAAAGATACAATAATTTATTTCAAATATTAAAAAAAACATACGAAATCCTAACCTCCGTGAAGCTATAATATTTAAAATGTATGATTTTTTAAAATTCTTGCATTAGTGCAGAACCACTTATGTTATGTTATTACTAGACCTGGTGGCTTCCCAAAAACCCCATTGTAGACTAACAGTGAAACAACCAAAAATAAAAAATAATCATTTTCACTTGGGGGACATTTCAATATATTCACCACCGTGCCAATTATTTTTAATTGTTACAAATATTAGCTAATTTTCACGTTTCGAAAAATCTGAACTTGGCATATCCACAATTTTTTTGTATCTATGCATTTCAACAAAAAAGATTTACCTTGCTATATTTAAATAAATACTGCCTTGAAATTTAAGCTTACAACACGCGGTGGTAATTAGCAACCAATAAATGAATATTTTTATTTTTCGTTTTGAATAATTTTCATGTTAACTAAAATGTTTCATAAATCGTACAACTAAATTATTTTTGAAATATTCACATAATTATCGGGTTACTGTATGTTTCAAAATAATTAGTTAATTGGGTACCTAGTTAAGTACCGTTTTTTACTTAAATTTGTTTTTGAGAACAATAAGTAATTTTATTTCCGGGTCAGAAAAATATCTACATACATACATAGGTACCGTTAAATTTCAAAGTTATATAACATTGATGAATTTTCATTAAAATATATTTTTAATTGTTTAATATAATCATTTTAAGTAGTATAATAAATAGATAAACGATAAGATTCCACTGTAATTAAAAATAATAGTTAATAATTAAAATTAATTTTATAACCACAAAAAAATTAAAACCACGTGCTTTTTTGATCAATAACTTTATTAAAATATTGCTTTTTAATATTTTGAAAATAAGAAAAAATAATGAACACAACTAGCAAATGCTATAAAAACGTACAAAAGGGACAGAGAATAAGAAACTGAAAAGTCATTTTACAACCATAATTGAAAATAATATCACAGATTTCTCATTTCAGTCAACAAATCAAAATTTCCGAGATTAATAATGTAACGCAAATTTTTAAATATTCAACCAAAGTGAATAACAAATTTACGTAAGAAAAGTATAAAAATCTCACGACGTAGTAACTACTAAAGAGATTCACATCAACGTATATCACTCGCGTTTAAGGAACACATTCTATTAATAAATAGAATAACAGTTTATTTCAATCACATGTATTCAGTTCGGCACTGATGAGGATGATTATGGGAGCAAACAATAAATAAAGCGGGCGAATATGAACGGGGCGCAAACATTTTTTATGGTTTCCGATTTTGCAGCTTGATTTTCTACATTTTGTCTGAGCAGAGTTTTGATAGATTTCTTCGTTAGTGAGATATTGAGGAAATAAGGGGTGGGATAATGGACGTCAAAATGACGGTTTAAAATCGTTGAGGGCATAAAAAGTGCATGCGCAAGTTATGTCAAAAATAAGTATAAAATTTATCACAATCTAAACATTAGTGTTGGCGCCAGTATTGCGCCATGGGTTGATTTAAGTTGTCAATGTTGATTTAAGTTGTCAATGTGAATAAGAAAATATAAGAAGAAAGATATTCATGGATATGGAAGAAATAAGATATTAAAATATTTATTTAGATGAATTTCAAATTAAAATCATAATAATTACATATAATAATATTATATATATATATATTATATATATTATATAAATCACAAATAAAGGAATATAACTGTAAGTACATTCTCTTCTTTTATTAACCTGTGGTGCATTGATACACCAATTAGTATCACATTTTTAAATTTAGCAACAACCGACATAACTACTTATAACGAACTTTTTTTCAACAGTGATTAACAAAATAGTCCTTTTTCACTTTCCAGAGGACCAGTTCCAGACAGGCACTGGCGTCCTCCCAACTGCTGTGCCCCTTTTCCGAGCACTGAATGTCTTTCGCGAGAATAGTCGAGACCAATTCTTTCAGGGACCGCCTGTAGGGCAGACCGTGGTGGTGGGGGAAGCACAGGGCCGTATCGACGACTTTAAAGTGAATTATCTTGGGGCTTTGAGGTCGTTCTCCAAGTAGTTCCCAATCAAGATGGTTTTATCGTTGATGAAGCCCATCAATAGTTTTGGATGTTAAAGCAATTTGACACCTTTCAAATCTTTATTAATTATTGAATAAATTAAAGACAAAATAAAAGTTTTAACCGGGAATGCAATTAAACCACGTGTTTTGTAATCAATAACTTTATTAAAATATGTACTTTGACAATACACAGCCATGCTATTACTATTTTTTTTAACATTTTGAACATAACAAAAAATAATGAACACAATATTAACTTTTCTGTCAACAACAACTAGCAAATGCTATAGAAACGTACAAAAGGGACAGAGAATAAGAAACTGAAAAGTCATTTTACAACCATAATTGAAAATAATATCACAGATTTCTCATTTCAGTCAACAAATCAAAATTTCCGAGATTAATAATGTAACGCAAATTTTTAAATATTCAACAAAAAGTGAATAACAAATTTACGCAAGTAAAGTATAAAAATCTCACGACGTAGTAACTACTAAAGAGATTCACATCAATGTGTATATCACTCGCGTTTAAGGAACACATTCTATTAATAAATAGAACAACATTTTATTTTAATCACATGTATTCAGTTCGGCACTGATGAGGATGATTATGGGAGCAAACAATAAATAAAGCGGGCGAATATGAACGGGGCGCAAACATTTTTTATGGTTTCCGATTTTGCTGCTTGATTTTCTACATTTTGTCTGAGCAGAGTTTCGAAAGCTTTCTTTGTTAATGAGATAATTAGGAAATAAGGGGAGGGCTAATGGATGTCAAAATGACGGTTTTAAATCGTTGAAAGCATAAAAAGTGCATGCGCAAGTTATGTCAAAAATAAGTATAAAATTTATCACAATCTAAACATTAGTATCACATTTTAAAATTTAGCAACAACCGACATAACTACTATAACGAACTTTTTTCAACAGTGATTAACAAAATAGTCCTTTTTCACTTTCCAGAGGACCAGTTCCAGACAGGCACTGGCGTCCTCCCAACTGCTGTGCCCCTTTTCCGAGCACTGAATGTCTTTCGCGAGAATAGTCGAGACCAATTCTTTCAGGGACCGCCTGTAGGGCAGACCGTGGTGGTGGGGGAAGCACAGGGCCGTATCGACGACCTTAAAGTGAATTATTTTAAGGGCTTTGAGGTCGTTCTCCAAGCCGTGCCCGATCAAGATGGTTTTATCGTTGATAAAGCCCATCAGGTCGTTCTGCACGTCTCTGAGCGACTTGGCGCCCTTCAAGTCCTTCGCGGTGATCCCCGAGAAACGCGTGTTGTAATCCACAACGCGATTATCGGGTTTTACGTGCGAATCGTACACCAAACGCCCCTCGTGGTTTATAACCGTCACTTTGGCCAACTCCAGCCCGGCAACGGTGTAACACATCTCGCAGTCCACCGCGTAAATCCCGTGGAAGTCGGGGCGGTTGCGGCGGGTACGAGTGCGCACGTAGCCCTGATAGGGGCCGTTGGGGCCGTTCTTAAGCCCGCTCCACACGTGACACGCGCCCTCGGTGCACCCGCGCCCCCCGGCCCCCCTCTCGCAGCACGTGTACACGCGCTCGCGGTTCAAAGCCTTCAACTTTCCCCAGTGGTACACGCACTTTTCCGTCGCCAAATATTTTTTGTTTTTCGTGCGGAAGGTTTTCCCGCACCGCGAGCACAAATGTTCGTTGTGAGTGTCATTTTGGCCGCCGCACTCCTGATCCGAACCGCTAGTGTCTTCATAGTCATTTTCGGAAGAACTGCCCTGCCCAGAGTCAGTGGAGGAGCACGAACGCGGTTTCCCCCCCGGCACAAACTCCCTAGCGTTCACATCGAAGTTATGCTGCTGGTTGTACGTCACTGCACTGAACGGCTTCGAATTCTTGAATATCCAAACCCCCTCGAACCGATTATCATCCACAGGGTACCCCAGGTGCACCATAAAGTCCCTCTTCAACGAGTACCTCTCCAAAAACACAAACAAAGCTTGCTCGTTGACATTCAACTCCACAAACCTCCCATAAATATCCATGTTGATACTCTTCTTCGACACCTCAACCTTCTTCGGTTTCAACTTTTTTTTGCTCTCCGAAGGCGAGCCATCCTCCCTCCTCCTGTTTTTACGCTGCCTCCTCGACAGCCCCTTGGGCAACGGGCTCCGATCCCCACCACTAGACTGGCTCTCCTCCTTCCCCGATGAAGATGAGTCTTCGGCTGGGTCCTCCTTGCCACCAGGGTCTGGATCTTCTGCACACAAAAATAATACATCACTACACTAATCATACACTCACCACTTTATTTATTTATTTATTACCTACTTAATTAATACTAACAATACTAAAATAATAATAAAACTCACCGTATCCGCACGAGGCCAAATACTTCCCGTTGGAGGAATAATCCATGTTGCTAATTTCGCCTGTGTGCCCCTTGAACGTGCTCAAAACCCAGTGGTGAGTGAAATTCGCCCCCTTGGGGTTCCACCTTTCCCCCGCGTTCTTCTTCTTGCTTGCCGGCTTTGTAACCTCCCTCTTCTTCTCCGTTTGAACGGATAAATCATCTGCAATCAAAAATAATCCTTAATGCAACGCAATGTAAACAAAAATACTTAATTTCGCGCCCCGCGCCAAAAATAACCTGCAAGCACGTGCTCGATACACGTAACGTAATCTGTTGTGAAATGCGCTCTCAAATTAATCTTACTTTTGGTGTGTTCGTTCGCCCTGGCCTCCGACTTGAATAACCTAAGAATGTACGCCAGCAGGATAACGCTGACACCCACGAATAAAGTGGCCACGACCGTGGGACTCATCGCCGATTCACTTTCCATTTTGTCGCCGGCAAATTCGATCGAAATCTCGACTTCGGGCTCACACAATCGCCGCGCAAAAACTGACTCGTCTAGACACCACGTTTTGACGCGTTAGGTTGGTATTGCGGCGCGAAATTTGAAACTTCTCTTCGACGTTTGCAGGGAATGCGCGGTCTACTTTTCATCCTCGTGGAAATGGCGACGGTCAAACCCATTAAGCTGAACGAGCGGTTGTTGAAGAGAACCTTTCTGTTCGAAATCTCGCGTTAGACTGAGCGGATGGCGCGCGACGCGGGTCTTATAAATATTAAAGCGCGATCACATACGTGGCTTTAAAATCTTTCTCTTTTGGTATGGTGCCGTCTTTCAACAAACACGTGGTACCGCGAAACACTTTATTTATAAGGTTTCTACCACAATCGGCGGATTACGTACCGCAATGATATCATTCATCGAAAACCAAAACTCAAACGTGATAAGATGCCACCACCGTGATTACTGTTACAATAATAGGCGAAATCTACATACAAAGATAAATCATAGATTATGACGCATAGGTTTATTATAACGTTTACTCGATGCAAAAAAACGTAACACTACCTAGAATAGCTTATAACTAATCTTTTACACAGAAAAACACATATTAATTTGCAATACTTTAATCACTTACGTGTCGCAAACAACCCCACAACAAATTTGAATTTTTCCCTGAAACGTTGGTAATTATGCAAATTTTGTTTGTTTACCAAATGTTATTTACGAGAAATATGTGATTTTATTTGTTTACTTCTAACACAGTAAACTATTTTTACAATTATTTAAATATTTTATCAATTATAATCTACAAAATTGTGTTTTTCTGTGCATAACATTTTATGCACATTATGATTTTACGGCGAAAAGTTGGCAATGATTCCTTTTGTTTAACTTTATCACAGCTGACAAGATTATTTAAAATAATTTATTTTGACATGTAAGCAAGTTTATTTATATATTGTATATTTATTTAATATAAATAATGATTTTAAACATAAAAATACACTCCTTTTACTTAGGAAAACACATTATTATTATATTATTATTATTATTATAATCAAAAAATTTTGTTTTTTGTTGCAAACAGTTGGCAATGACTTTATGTCAAATGTCACAACCGACTAGATCAAAATTGTATTTGACAGTTTGTTCGATGCAAGTGAGTTATTTTTACATTTATTAATAATTTAGTGTATAAAATCTTTGAAAACCGCTTTAGTAATTTCTTGAAAATTTAATGATGACAATCTAGAGTTCGCGTGTTATTTATATATAGTAATTATAATTACTATAGTATGACCACGTCATTGATAAATTTATATCAAATTCCCTTATGAATATTTTATCAATTACTTACACGTAGGTAATAAAACTCTGTAATTTTGTATTTGGAAACCAGCTATATAAATAATAAACCCGCGGTATTAGTAGCAGGAAATTGCGTGCGTCATACGTTTAGATTTTTCTCAGGGTTTTTATGTTTATTTCGCAGAAAACTACTTACTAATAAGTCCTTTGCACATGTTAACACTACACTTTATACGTGAACTGTTTTAAAAAGGGATCATATTCGGTTTGTTATGCAATTTATAGTAAGTTATGTTTGTTAATATTGTAAACAATTTTTTAGTAGCCTTAAAAAAATCACGTGTGTAACAAAAACTACTTGGTTTGTTAGTATACTAACGATTGTTGATTGTTTTGCGTTTCGTGTAAATTAAAACAATTACGCAATTTAAGCGATGTAAAATTAACCAATTAATAAGAATAAAGGTGTGTACACACTTCTGGTCATTGTTTGATGGTTTTAAAAATAGCGTTGAGATAGGTCGCGTCGAGCAGATATGGAACAAAGCGCTTTTTCGCATAAAAATAATTTTGTTTACCTAATATTTTTGTTGTTTCACATAGACGATTTCACGATACTGCTCACTAAGTGTTATCAACCACACGACAACATTTTGAATCAAAACGAACCGAATGAACTTGCATTGTGAAGCGGAGTATGCTTCGTACTGCATTTGCGTTCAGTTTTGCGAAATATAAAAATAAAGTATGAATTTTTCGAGGTTAAAAAACAGCCGGCGCATTGCCCTCACACCACAGAGCAGACGGCTAGAACTGACCTTCAACCACTTGTGATATTGTCGTCTACGTATGATAAAAAAATGCACTCGAATGTGCATTTTTTAACAAATAAATGTGCCCCCTTTTGAAAGGACAAAATAATCGTATAATCGGTCGGACAAAACAAGTTTTAAGGTTTTTGTTGGTAGGCAAAAATAAAAAATTATTTAAAATCTATAGTTAATGAAATCCTTAATTTTTATTTTTGCTTTCGCTGTCAAAATGACAAGTCGTTTAAAATTCAGTGTCCGCCACTGTCATTTTATTATAAAAATAATAGAACAAATTCTCACAGTGGTTCAGAATTTAAAAAATGTGGTCGAAATTCGCACAGTGGTATAAATATAAAAAATGGTAGGACAACATTTTTTAAATTTACAAAAAATTGCAATTTTTAAAATTATAAAGATTTTCAAAATTCTTTAAATTTAAATCTTCAAAAAAATTAATTTTATAATTTTATAAAGATTTTCAAAATCAAATTTCCAAAATATTAAAAATTTATATTAAAACTGACAACCATAATTTCCATTTTTGCTTTCGCTGTCAAAATGTCAGGACTAGTGAAAAAATGCGGTAGAAATTCGCACAGTGGTATAAATATAAAAAAATGGTAGGACAAATTTTTTTAAATTTCAAAATTAACCAAAATTTAAAAAAATTACGAAATTTTGAAAATTTCCAAAATTTTCAGTTTTTAGAAATTTTTCACGATTATTATAATATAAAAATGGCAGGACGAATTTTCAAAATTTCAAAATTCTTTAAATTAAACAAAAATTTTAAAAATTTACGAAATTTTGTAAATAGGTATACAAAAATTTTTAGGATTGCAAAATTTTCAGGATTTACAAATTTAAAAGATTTTCAAAATTCTAAAAATATTCACGATCTTTAAAATAGTTTATATGTATAAAAATCTATAATTAATGACAATTCCCCCAGTGGTTAAAAATTAAAAAAATTGTTGTCGAAATCCGCACAGGACAATTTTTTTTAATAAATTTATGATTTTCAAAATTCTTCAAAATTAACCTAAATTTTGAAAATTTACGAAATTTTGAAAATTTCCAAAATTTTTAAGATTAAAAAATTTTCAGGATTTAGAAAATTTTCACGATTTTTATAAAATAAAAATGGCAGGAAAATTTTTCTAAATTTAAGAAATTGTCAAAATTTACAAAATTTTCAAAATTTACAAGTTTTAAAATTATTTAATATTTCCAAAAAATTTTAATTTTCTAAAATTACCAGGTTTTTTAAAATTCTTTAAAATTGACGAAATATTCGAAAATTTCCAAATTTACAAATATTTTAAAGTTTACAAATTTTAAAGATTTTCAAAATTCTGAAAACACCCAAGGTTTTCACGATGTTTAAAATTTTCAAAATTTTAAAATTAAAACTTAAAAAAAATTTTAAGCTTTTTTTGTCCCTATAAATAAACAATAGGTATTTAAAATTTTTAATATTTACAAAAAATTTTAATTTTCCAAAATTATAAGGTTTTTAAAATTAACAAAATTGACGAAATATTCAAAAATTTCCAAATTTACAAAAATGTTAAAATTTACAAATTTTAAAGGTTTTCATAATTCTGAAAATCCCCAAAATTTCAAAATTTACAAAAATGTTAAAATTTACAAATTTTAAAGGTTTTCATAATTCTGAAAATCCCCAAAATTTCCACGATCTTTAAAATTTTCTAATTTTTAAAATTAAAACTTAAAAAAAAATCTTGTCCCTACGTGTCACTGAAGTTGTATACCACCCTGTATAATTAATACTTTCTTTAATAAGTAAACAATATTTCCTAACAATTAAATTTCAATTATACTTAATGTAGGTAATCAAATAATGATGTTTTGAAAATAAATCAATAACTTTATATGTGTATGTATATGTTATACTCCTAACACATTTTTTATATGAATCATGCATATATGGCATTATTAAGCCAATAGGAATTCGATAAAGGAAACAAAGAGCACGTGTCGAATTTTTTTTTTGTATAAAACCATGATGATGTTATTATGGTTTTTACTTGTAATGTATAATTTGATATTTATAACAAGAAATTGGAATAAATAACTATAAAAATTATTTTTTCTACGACCACTATGTAAAAGTCACTTTTCATGATGGCATCGTTGCTTAGAAAATGAATCTTTTCATTGGCAAGGCAAAACACGAATGTAAAGTGACATTTCTGTATGTTTCAGCTGTCAAAAAAGTTTTTAGGTTATTTTGTTTTGTATTTAAAAATAATAAAAAATAAAAGGGTCGCAGAAATTATTTTACGTTACCATTTAAAAAATTGAGTTGGGGCTGTATCCTAGAAACAGTTTAAGAAATTTGTAATATCTATTTTTAATGACCAGACTATATAGTACCCATTGCTTGTTTTTAAATTGTCTAGTCGGTTATTCAAATGAATTTTTTAGTGGTTTACTTAAAATTATTAAATATTTAAATGGTTTTGAAGAAATACTAAATAATTATGCATTTTTAAAAACCAATATTATAATGAGAAGAATTTAGAATAATTATTATAATTGTTCAACAAAAAAAATTATAATAAAATATTTGTGGTAAGGTAGTCAACAACCATTTTTCTGCGGGGTAAAGTTTTAACTTTTCCAGGGTTGGAGTGTTTAACCCACGATTACTTTACCAAATAAAATATATATTTAAGTTTGGACAATTTTAAGAAAAAATGGTCGTTGAACAAACAAAATTTAATCACATTCAAAGCAATCGAATAAAATATAAATTATTAAAAATTAAGAGAAATAAATTTTATAACCATTTATGTGTTAGAAAATTGATTCTATCCTCCGTGAATCTGTTTTGCTTTAAATTTTATGCAACGGATGGCGCTTTAATCATCTAATAGGTACAATTTTATTCATGCTCACCAATCATATGTTAGGTTATCCTATTAAAAAGTTCACTATGTTTTCGTGAAAAGTTTGTTCAACTAAACTATATTCACAATGCACTTGGTATAAGAATCCATATAAAGCAAAGCACAACTGTACTAATGACTCAAAGGTAGTGTACTAATTGATGTCATTTGCAGGCTTAGCACTGAACTGAACATTTTAGACTATATGACTGGTTCAGGTAGTGTCGGTCTGTTATTTATTATTTTCGTTCAAACAAAGACTGAGTCAATGTGTTGTTTATAAATAATTATTTCTTATCTGTAATATTTTGTTTCTCTCGTCCAATACGTTACGCGACTGTCGTGACACTTTTGTTTCCTAGAATTTTGTTTATATCACCGAACGCGTCAAACAATAGAAGAACGGAACATGGATTTACCCATTTTGATAAAGTAGAATATTATATTTGGGTTATCTTCAAAAAAGAAATTCATTTTCGATTGCTCACGTCCTTCAGGCTTTTGTAAAAC